AATATATTATATTTACAACAAACTGATTTTTATATAATAAATAAAAAAAGAAGAGATCTCTTTTTTCTTAATGGAAGTGCTATTATATTTATATGTATAAAATATTTTTAAATATTTTTGAAAAATTTTCATATTTTATGGATTTGTAATAAATATATAATATGTGATACCATAGATGAGCTCTTCGCTATATAATAAGTAATAAATCACCGCCAATTTTTCTAATTTTGCGAACAAAAAAATAAAATAAAATAATTCAAGGTATTAGGACAAAGTAAATTATCACAAATCGTGATAGTTTTTCACGCGTTTTTTGTGCTAAAGTCGGTGTACACCGATGCAGGTCAAACACGTATGAAATTTGAGATTGGCAACCGGAGCATTAGTTTCCGGCGAACAAACTCCTTTCGGTGGAGCATTGTGACTATTGTTCACGCGCTAGGTATTTGCGGAAAGCTCCTGTGTCCAAATATCGTCCATTATTCCGACAACTGTCTAAGTAATTCGCGAGAGTTACCTCGCAACGGACTCAGCGCTCGAAGGGTGAAAGCCATTCCAAGGCATATAACATTGAATAACTATATGAAAAATGGATATTGTCAGCTTTCCGATTCGAAATGCAGAATCATCAAAAATATTTTTTAATAATTACACGATTGCATGATGCATCTTATTAAACTCTATGAGGGCCAATTATAATATGTCAACATCGGAATTATATACGATCGATTAAATAAGACTTTTTTTAGTTGAACGTTCTCGCATTCATTTTTCACTAATAAAGAATTAACATGAAAGTTTAGTAGCTGACATAATATATCAGAGTTGCCACAGACTTGGAAAATCAGAAAAATCGTGAAAAATTATGAAAATTTAAATTAGCCAGAGAAAACCTGGAAAAATCAGGGAAATATATAAAAAAGGAGCCAGAAATTTTGAACTTTGAATTATATTTTCAAGTTTGTATTATGTGTACTTCGAATAATATAAGCAATCTTTTCTGCAATTAGTGCAATTCATGTTTCTAAATTAACGTTAAAATTTAAGATTACATATTAGTCATGAAAAATTCTCCATTATCGTCTGCAAAACATGCAAAAATTAGGAAAGTTCAAAATTCATTTTCTGTGGCAATCTTGTGTATGGATACGTGCCATAAGATATGTCAGCCACCATTGAATGTCTATTCAAATGCACGTCGTAATGTTGACTGGGAACACCGTGATTTTATATCGGAAATTCGCAGGCTTTGTCTTCGCGGTTCCTAGACCTCGTTTTTCATCTCGACGCATCGCTAGCGAATCGAACATCCATCATACGGATCGACGCGTAATCGTCGCCGCGGACTTGCGACAAGCGAAATCGATACCCGTCAATCCCCAATGAGCGGCGATCAGGCCATTTCAGCGACCTCATAAATAATGAAGCGCATGCAGATGCCGCCATCGCGGTAAACCGTGTGTACGGCGAATTTGCCGGTTTTACGTGGCTAACGATGTACGACGGCGTCTATATCCCGTATTCTTCCGTTCTCATAGTTGATTAAAATATCGCTCGATAATCTTGCGTAACTTATTTAGAAGTGTATAAAAATATGAAATACTATGCGCGATAACCGATACCGATTAACTTTCGAATCATTGATCACTAGATTTAAATCTATACAGAGTTTGATATTGTAGCATTTAGTGAATGCGACGAAAAATATGATTTAAATAGAGTATTGCATCCTACACGAGAAATCTATGAGCTACTTTTTTTTACGTATCGAACAACTATATAAAAGTTTACAAGTGTACTAACTACTAACTCTCAAAAAATATGCTACCAATGTAATATACACATATATAATATATGTAGGTCCGGAAGTATGTTCCGGGACTTTTATTTTTGATATTGGTATATTCCGGGACATTTGGCAGTTTCCAGGACTGTCCTGGAAAAAATTCATGTCCTACGGCAATTTTCGGGACAGTTTTTTGAATCTGATTACATATATATGTGTTATATTCCAGGACTGTACATTTCAAAAAACGTAAACAGTCCCGGAACATACCTCTGGACCTACATATATATATATATATATATACATATATATATATACACATTATAACATTTTTTGAACAAATAGTGCAAATATAAGACTCATTTATGAATAATATTTCTCTAATAGAGTTATGTTTTACATTAACTTGCCAATAATGCAGCGCTAGTAATTTATTACATTAGTATAATGAAGGAAAGCATTGTCCAAGAGAAAATGTATGAAATCATTATTTTACTAAAATCTAAATTTATGAAAAGAGCAGGGAGAGAGAGAAACTGAGGAGAAAGAGAAAAGGGAAGGAGAAGAAGAGAAAGAAACGCAAATAATAAAATAATAATAAATGAATATGAATAAAATAATTAATTAATGATGTAAGTGTAGTAATACGTGAAGTTTTCAAATTTTAAGTATGCAGGGCAGCTTGCATATGTACAGTATATTTACACGGAAGGTAAATTCAGCAACCGAGCAAATTTATTTACGTCTATACGTTTGCATTAGAGCGCACGAAACATGCGCTCTTGGCGCAAATGCGGTGAGGATTATATTGTATATACCAATGCTTAATAGGCATCGCTAATAACGATCCTACAACAAACGTATTAGTCGATATCGTATGACAACTAACGGATGACATTGTTATGTAATGATGATTTACCATAATGTAAACATTATCCAAATTAGATCATAATAAATATATCATTTCTGACAGTTGTATAGGATCACATAGAATGCCACATCTTTGTAAGTGCATTTCGACTTTTATAATTATCAGTGTGCATATTATTTCATTGAACGCTTCTACAAAACAAAGTATAATCAAATGTGTAATCTTGTCAGAAAAAAATTGAAAATTATTTATTAAAAATTTTATATTGATCATAAAATTAAAAGGTGTGAGAATCTGTTGTATTCTAAAAGAGACAAATGTTAACATAATAAAGCATAAATTATATTAAATTTTATAAATTATGTATATTGTTTATGACAAATTTTATAAACAATATATATAAATTTATATTATTCGTCATAATAAATACTTAATCAAAATTGATTAGATTGTTTAGCAGAAAATAAAATACTTTGAAAACGTGTATGTTGACATAGGAGTTTCACACGGAGTGCTTTTCGCCTTAAACACTAACGTCAATGTAGTATCGATCGAAATATAGCTGGATAATCAATCTCCATCAACGATTTATCAAAAATCAATTGTTTTTACAGCGTCGACGACTGTTGTACATTAATGCTTTTAGCACTGAACGTTCAGTTCTCTTCCAGTGGCTACCTTGGGCAGAGAACTCAATTTGCAAAATGAAATTCATGGTTGACCGATGATCGTCGCGAGATAGGAGACAATCAATCCACTTGATGCAGCACTACCCCGCGGGGTTAGATCGCTATTGCTGGTGGCTGACCTCCAATTCAGTAGCACGTTGCGCGAATTAGTCCGTGGCGTTTGTTCGCAAAGGTATCATCCAATCATGCGAGTGCATCGTACGCCGCCGTGATATGCGTGGCTAAGCTGCCTATCTAAATCGAGGTTTCTATACCTTTCATTCCCGTTTAATGGATATACTGAACATTATCCAGACCACTTGTCTCTTTGACTTCTATACAGTGTTAAAAGCAGCATAGACTACCTAATGAACAAGCTTTTAAAAAATAAAATGAGAAAACTCGAAAAATTTTTTAGTATGTTATGATTATATTATCTGACATTATTGTAAATTTTCATCGCGACAGAGAAGCATGTAATATAAATGGAAATCTGTTTACTTATTTATTTATTTATTCTATATGCCATATTATGAATTAACTTTTACATGGCATAAAAATATCTGAAATCCAATAGTATAGTAAGTGGTTTATTCTCATATGCCCATGCGGGGTACAGAAAGGACTCCTGCTCCTTTTACATTTATAATGTTATAATATAGATATACTTTACATTGTATTTTATTAGACAGATTAAGGAATACGTGAAAAGTAAAATAATTCAAATCGAATTCTTAAATAAGTTATTTCTTCTTTTGAAAAGAAATATTTCTTTTAAAAGAAATCGCAAATCTTTACTTGAGCCATGCTTGAGTCTGCATGAGAACTAATTTATACGAGAAGAGAATTCAAAATTCTCTCGTGTTAAAGAAATTTAAACTGCACTGCACAGAAAACTCTTTAGAAGGGGGAAGAGATCTAATAATTGCATTTGGCTGCCGTTTTCAACGCACCCTCGGAAATTATACGCCCCGGAACTCTGACGGCGTTTAAATAGCCGGCAGACATGTTCGCGCGCAAAACAATGAGAGACTATAGAGATCGTTTGCGACACACACGTCGACCAACCGGGGATTTACGGTGTTGTGGATGCTTTCCGTGGTCTTTGTTCTAACACGACCAAGACGTTGCAGGCTCCCCGGGCCAGTATTGTAGCAGCGCAGGCGTTGATGCTTGAGAACTTCCGGTGCTAAACATTTATAACATGTTCCTAAATTTGAATATCTTCGCGATTCAAAGTTTATGTTAATTAGACACTTCATCAATCATTTCACTATTTCGAATTTAAGAGATAGAATGGTTATGCTAAAAGAAAAGTTGTTCTATCTACCATATTGAAACATATCATACTTTATTTCTCAATACATGAATAATATTATAAAAACTGACAGTATCAATAAAAAAAATTGCAAGCACTAACATACTTTTATTTTATTAAAAGAATTATCGATGTACTGCAATACTAAACTGCTAAACATTATATCAATAATCTTCAGAACTTTATTCGTTAAAGCTGAAGGAGATGTTTAGCTAGCTTTAGATTTTTTTTAATTACAAGAAATGAATTAGAGATAGGCGATTGAAGAATAAGAAATGTCTGCGGTAGCAAACTACAGCAAACGTAGAAGGTATTGCGTAGAAGGTGCGAGTACAAGTTGTATTGTTTATGTTGCAGGTGTCCTGGATGCGTAAACGGGACATGCATATCCTGAGCGCGGGCATCCTCATGTACACGTCGGATCTGAGGTTCCAGGTGATCCATCCGGACAAGTCGGAGAACTGGACGCTGCAAATCAAGTCGCCGCAACAGCGCGATTCCGGCGTATACGAGTGCCAGGTCAGCACCGAGCCGAAGATGTCGCTCAACTATAGCCTCAACGTGGTTGGTGAGTGCCGTCTGAATTATTCACACACCTGGCCCGGTTACATAAATCGCGGCCTTGGGTTGATTCTGTTCGAAATCTTCTCTCGATGGGAGACGAATGTTACGACCGTTTCTCGATCGGCTGCTGTCTCGGAGAAAAGATTGTTCGCGACACGAGCCGGCGCGGCGGGATCGAACGGGTTAAAGTTTAAACGCTTAAGTGCTCCGTCGTGGGATTATCCTTCCGATGTCGCGTCACGTTCTGAAATCCTTATCGTTTGAGGATTAACGAATTGCAACTTGCCATCGACATTGACATCTAACGATTATGAAAGAACAGAAATTATCACTGTAAAGTATATGTGGCTTATTTGACCAATTCGACCAATTTATAGCCTTTGACATTAGAAATTTAAAAAAGACAGATTATAAAGTGCATTAATATTGATCAATATTTATGCAAACTTAAAGAACGATATTATAAATGTTATAGTATTTATTTTAATATTTTAGATTTGTGCGTTGTATTTGATATGTATTATATAATATAATGCCACGCTGGCATTTATTTACAGAATATTATTTTGCCAGTTTATAACATTTGACATATTTGTAACATTTAATAATATTAGGTACTGCGATGTGATTAATACGATAATGATGATAAATAATACATTACTGACGGTGCTGCAGAAATTTCTCTGCATCTGTATCGTGTATGAAAATTGATCTCGATTCCATCACGAATGCCGATTGCACAATGCAGCCGGCGATGACATGTACAATTACATATTCATGCAGGTACAAGTGTGTCATCAAGTATTATTTTGCATATCTCCTTGTATATGAAGTTTATGCACAGTTACAAAGCAGAGAGAGATGTGATTTTCTGAAAAACAAATAATCTTTTATAATTCCATGTGACACACAAAAGATCAACGTGTTAACTTTAATTAATTAATTAATATTAATATTATTAAATATACTTGCCGGTCATGTTTATATGATCCGCCTTCGCAAACAACGAATAAAAATACAATTTTTTCTGGCTGCAACAAGATACAGTGAGAGCATGCGCGTATTCGTGTCTTCTTTAAAGTTAAAGTCAAGCACGCCGTAAGATTTAGTTAGGCGAAGTCCCTGCGATCGTTTTTTTTACGTTCGTGAATCTTTCAGCAGTTTCTGAGAACATTAGGGAAAACGACAACGATAACGCACGACTTCCGTTTCTTCCGTTTGCGAGCGTCGCCGACCAAATAAAAAGCAACGAGAGTGGGCAAGAGAGAACGAGTTATTTTGCCATCGAAAGTTGGAGCTAAGATACACTATAAACAACGTAACTTTGTGCATGCAATCCGGAAGAATTTTATATTGGCATAACTGCTGCGCTGAAAACTCAACATTTTCGCGTTGCAGTTCGTGATCCGCCTCTCGTAAACTTCAGCCATAATAAACATTCGCCAGCTTTGTCGAAAATCGGCGCGGCTATCGTACCTCGCTTTCCTTCATGAAATTAATTGCGCTTAATTGTGGAGTTTGCCACCTATGACGGCTTTCATTATTCACGTATCTCGCAAATATAATAAATAAATATTCGCGAAAGAACAAAATTATAATATGAATTCGACGCGAAATATGCCAATAGACAAGTCTAATTTTGTATTTTGAATTTCTTGAATTTCTGAAATTCCTGGATTCTAAGATTATTGAGCTCTCATATCTTTAAACTATTGAAATTCTTAGAATTCTTAGGGCGTGAAATTGTTCGAGTCTTAAAATCTTACTGTTAGATTACAAAGTTCTTGATGCCTAACATTTTTTTACTGCAAGATTTTTCAATTCCTATGTAAATTTCACTATCAAGATCTATATAAAATCGTCGTTTTAAAAAAACTTTTTAATTTCTTTCCGAAGATGTAAAACACCGATGAAAAAAAGCAACTAAAACTTACTGAAGGGATAGTAGTATAAAATGGGATAGTAAAAAAAAACAATAATTTATAGATTACGAAAGTGGAGCGGTATTGGCAAATTTTTTTTTGCTTCGCGTTATTTAGATTTGTCATTTCCTCGCGCGATGAGTAAATATAGGTTAAAGACCAGCATAGAATTATTCGCTTCCATTTGCGAATGTAGGACCACAAATGCAACCGTTGATTTTAAACTCCACACGAGGCTAAAGAGAAGAATAAACTGAAGGGCAAGGAATGGAGAATGCGAAGCGCTGGAGAAACGTAAGAGCTCCGGCGTGCTCGATAAGCGGCTTGGAGGAAACACGTCGACGCGAACCAAGTCCTTTTCTACCTCCACCCACCCTTATTCTCCCCTTTTTATGCACTACGAACGCATCGATGCAGGTGCATCTACTCCGTCTGGAGCGTTTATGTCTGGAAACGGGGAGGGAAGGTTGGCACGAAATAAATCGTCTTTCTTTCGCACGTTTTCTCATTCGTAAAATCGTAAAACATGAAGTCGACGGCGAGATCGATTTTACAAATCCATTCCGCAAAAAGCTGGAAACGCGAGAGTCCCTGCTGACTGCAGATCGAAATTTCCCATTGGGGTATGAAGTAAACTTTGGGGATTGGTGGAAGGGGAAGAGGCTGTTTTCTGATAGATGTATAAAGATTGTGGGCTAAGAATCGATAGAAATATCAACAAAAGTAGGGCAGATTGATTGAAAAGTAACATAATAATTTTAATAAAATGATATTTAACAAGAAAAACTATTTTATAACAGCTAAGAGAGTTTGTACAAAATTATTTATAGTGACAAATTGGTTAAAATATAAAAAATATATTAATGATATTTATTAATGATTTTTATTAATATTTGTATGTTATATTAGTTGCAATCGTATTTTTTTTTTGCTTTATTTTTATGATTAACTGAGAAAGACGTTGGAAGTAATTCGTTCAAAATCTCGCGTACGTGATTTTTACATAAAATTGCTGAATATAACAAGAGATTTGACTTAAAATTTTTCATAATTCCCGTTTTTACCTTTCGAGTCGAAATGTGTCCTACAGAGAATAATTCACGTACCAAAATTCGCGAGGATAATAAAATTCTGCCAGCGGGTGGAACTCCAATCTCACTACTCTGGCATATATATTCTTGACTCGGCATTTTTTTGCCGTGTTTTTACCTAGCCGAGCGACGTAATATATAAATACATCCGAATTAACCACTAATGCATTTTTTGCCACTGTACGTTTGTTAAACGTCTCGCCCTGCCCCTGTCAAATAAATCCGAACCCATTTCTCGTATTCTAGTTTCAGATACTAGTTGGCCTTTCGTGAACTCTCACGTGATTGTGTTGGTTTAAAGCCCGAATATTGCACTATTTGTCTCGACAATAAAATTCGGGAGTATACAATGTCATTTTATTATTATTTAATAAACATGATCATTATTTTATTATTAAGCATTTATAATTTGTTGCAAATAGCAGTTTAAAAGACTTACAAAATAAAAACATGCCAGCATCAGCAAACTTATTAGTTAGAAAGTTAGATGCTGCTTAAAATCGAATTCAGAGTTTTAGTTAACTACTATATACTGATAATTTAAGCATTCTACTTGTACATGATGTACATATACATAGAATATAATAATAGTTTACGTAGGAGATATAAGCATCACGTAATATATCCTACATATATATGAAATCATTTATATGAAACATATTAGTTCTATGAATATGTATCATTTAATACTAAATGTGGAACAACATTGTGGTTTAAATTTGTCCTATAGTTCACGATATGGTATAATAGATTCTACGCTGGTTATTCTGCGATGGTAGGTTAATGAATGCGCTTTGGTCGACGTAATCAGTAACGTAATCACAAATCCGACGAGAGAGTGAAAATGATAATTGGCCGGCAAAGATTTGCCAGGCAACAGCAGTGTCAACGACCAAGCCATATATAATGGAGCACGATAAACACTGATGTACCCAATTATTGATGTGGTCTCGATATATTCCGTATTACATTATTACCATTGACGATAAATAAAAATCGATGTCTGTTTAAATCTTTCTTAATAAAGACAATATTTTTTATTTACTATCACATATAATAGTTGATGCAATTAATATATATATGAAAACGTATGTTTCATATGTTATTTTCTCACGTTTTAACAATCGTGATTTTTGTATTGCATTATGTATTATTGTTATATTATGTTATATGTTAAGATCTCATATTAGTGATTCTGGAAGCCTTGTTAATGTGATGTTTCATTCAGAGAAATGGTCATGTCAGCAACGGCACCCTGACACATATCAGTACGGTGGAAGGCATAAAAGTATGAATAAATAAATAGTACAATCTCATGTGGAGATATATCTTTACTCAGGAATGGTATATAAAAGTACAAACAATATGGTTATATACATGTTATGTGGTGTTTTAAACTTTTATATTTGTACTTTGCTTCGAAAGTGACGCAACTCAAACATCGTCATTTTTCTGGAAAAAAAAAAGAAATGGAGAAGAACATTTCTCTCTGTAATAAAATACATTTTTAAAGGCAGTTTATTTTACTTCTTAATGCAAATTTATATATTTAAATCTTGCAAGTCATTTATATGTTAATAGTTTAAAATAAGTTTAAAAAACATTGAATTAAAATTTTAAAATAGTTCTATATTTTTGAATGAAAAGAACAATTACTCGTTAAAACACGAGCTTTAAAGCACAAGAGGAAATAAATTTTTATTATACCTGGTACGCGTTATTGAGTATTATTACGTGGTAAAAAAGAGGGATGCATTGAGAAGTACGTAAAAGGCCATGTTGGCCCAATTTTGATCTTGTAGATTTTACCGCGAAGATTTGCTTTAATCAAACTTTTAATTAAGAGGGGTATAAGTCATTCTTGCCGAGACGAGAATGCCAGACACGGCGCAATCATAAATAAGACCGTGGACAGTCAGTGTTATGGCCACCGCCGTCGCTGGACAGTGATTTTAAATTACGCGAAACTCGCGGAAAATGAAATGTAATTC